CCGGCCCACGCTGCACCTGGGCTGGGACTGGTCCCGCCGGGGCAGGGTAGCAGGAAACTCTCCGCACACTCACCGGACCTGGGCTAGGACTGGGCGAATTTTGCGTATATTTATTTTCCATTTGCCTTTCTTTATCTGAGGAGCGTGTACTCATTTCAGTTGCCCATTTCTAAAATTGGGTCACTCTTCCTTGGTTCTTGGAGCAGCAGTGACTGTTTTTGGTTGCAGACTCCTGATAAAAGGAAAAAGAGGAAGAAGGAGAAAGCAGGAGCTTAAAAACCTGAGTGCAGGGCCATGGGATGTGAGGGAGTCAGCATCTTTGATAAGCAGCGGGCTGGGATCACTGCTCTGCCATCCAGATGCCCTTGCAGGCTGTGCCACATCGTCAGCACTGTGAGGACGCTGAGGGGATTCAGGTCCTTGCCGCAGTTCTTCCATGTCCTCCCATCAATACCGGAAATGGGCAAGGGTGTGCCGTAGGTGACTCCTAGAATGAGAACACACCTTGCAGTTTTCACTCATTACCCTATTGGCTCTAACAACAATTTGCTGTCCCCTCTCGACTTGTGACTTTGACAGAATAGAGTGACCAGGGAGAGACTGGAGGAGGACTGCAGGGTAGGTGAAGGCTCTTGCAAGCCCATGGAGAAAGCTCAGCTCGCTGGACTCTGCTCAGGATTCTGTGCTTCTGTCAGGAAGCTAATCTCAGAAGCATGATTCTTTGTATTTGAACTTATCTGAGTTGCATCAGATGACCTGGTATGGAAAATTGATTTTTAAAAAAAATTTTTTTATTGAGAAACAAATAGCAATGAGACACTTTCAAAACCAATTAGTAGCACAGTTTCAATGATTAATGCATTGCATATTGTTGTCTTAGTGGTTATTCATTGTATAAGATGCAGACATGATATCCTATCTGCAAACACTACTGGAACAAATCTTTCTATTCATTGAGTTAAGGGAAAGCAGCTGTATTACTGTCCTAACTATTGCTTGTTTCTTCAACTCTCACCAAGATGCTAAACCTGACCCACTGCTTTCTTCACTTATTAGCATGTGCACAAATCTTCAGAAGCTGTGATAACAGCTGAGCAATAAAAGCAGCCAGCAGCAGAGAGGTGGAAAACTCAGGGCAGGACTCTCACTGATCCCAGTGTCCTCATCTGTGCCCACTGGCAAAGCCCTTTGCTTCTCAGTGAACAGGAAATGCCCTGCATCTGCCACAACTGAGCAGCATTTCCGTGGGCTCCTCACCACATCTGCCCTTTCTGAGAACTGGGGTGGAGGTGGACAGGGGTTGAGGTTATTTACAGAAAAGGGTTCACAGGTTAAATTTTCTGAGAAGAACCTTAGTTCTCTGTTTCAAGAATGACAGAGAGTGGGGAGGGGAGAGGGGACCAGAAGTGAGCAGGCGAGGAATGGGCCAGATGGTGCACACACTTGTTGCTGCAGGACCATGGGGAAAGAGAGGGATTTCACATTTGTGAGCACAACTTATCCACAGGGCTGGGAGGAAGAGACACTTAAGCTCATATTTGGGTGAAGGAAATGCATGCTTTATGAGTTTAGTGACCAGAATTGTCAGGGCCAGGCATTGAGCTCCAGGGTCTGACCCAGATTTCCATTTGAAGATTATGCCACCGGGGGCCAAGGAGATGGCTCAGTAGAATAAGCACTTGCCTGGAAAGAGCAAAGGCCTGAGTTCAATCCCTGGTTCTGAAAAAAAAGAAAAGATTATGCCACCATGTCTAAGTAGGGTCCTGCTGGTTCCACAGGTGCTGGACCTGAGCAAGGTCTCTGAACACAGGTTGAAAAAGAGCAGGTGTGAGTTTCTGCTCCCTGTTAGCTCAATGTCCAAGGTTCTCTGTGTGAAAAACCCAGAAGAGGTTATGAGTGTCTGGTGTAGATATACTATAAGTCAGCTTGTGTATCGTGGTCACAGGATCATGCTTAGCTTGTTGAAAAGTCCATGCTGAAATTCAGGATGGTGTGGCACCTTGTTTCAGTAGATTTTTTTTACTCTGATTTTTCTATTTCTTTTTTTTTGTACAGGGTCTACAAGGTCTCGTTACACAGATTGGAATTGTAGTGATCCACCTGTTTTCAGCCTCCTAAGCACAGGGAATACAGGTGCATGCCACCACACCCAGTCTCATTGCCATCTCTACAAGCCCTGGGGGTAGGGCTGGCAAGGCATGTGATGCCTGAGACTGAACCTTGTTTGAGTAGTTTGAATACTATGGCTTTGAGAAAATATGGCGTCATAGTTCCTCAGTGCACTCAGGCTTGCAAGGATGACTAGGTTGGCTTGTTATGAACATAAAGGAGAGATAAAGGTGAAAACCTTAGAAAAATGTGGGCCTCTGCTCCCTCTCACATATCTGAGGAAGCTTGTCCTCTCTCATATTCTTCCAAGGGTTACCTTCCAAACCTGCATCCAGTGATGCCCAAGGCTGCTTGCTACTGGGCCAATATCAATCCCTTCTCAGAGAAGACAACACAGTCCTTCTTAGAGTAATAATTTTGTTTAGAATATTCATAAGATCTGAGTCATGCCTCTTAAAATATCCTATGTCATTATTAACACATGAATGAGAATATAGGGTGAAATCTACCAGTTTCCAGACAAATAGAACAAGAACAAAAATTTAAGATTTCTTGAAAGCATGTGGCCACATTCAAGCATACATTCAATCTTGCATAATTATATCTGCTAATTGAGCAACAGATTTTATGATAAAAAAGATTATATATCAACTATTGTTGATCAGGTATTATTGGTTTGAAAATCTATAACACATATATTGTATGTTACCTTGTTCCTATATTTGATTTTGGGTTTTTTGTTCAAAATAAAAGAAAATTATAGTAATAATAAAAAAGACAAATGGGAAATTAACAGATGAATGGATTACAATGTGCTCTTTGTACATGATGGAATTATAATGTCCCCAGAGAATGATAGCTATGAGTCATTCATTTACAGATAAATTCGAGACCATAATGTTATATGAAATGAACCAGTGTCATGATTGTAAGTGTCACATGGTATTTCCGATGTGAGGAAACTGAAATATAAATAAAGCACAAAATAAAAGACAGGTAATAAGACCTGGGGAGCTACATCTTTTTCAGATGGGAAGGAGAAAATGATGTAGGGAGAATGGATGGGCAACTGATGATAAAAACATTTAAGGAATGTTATGTCCGTATACTGCCTTCTCAAAAAAAATGCAATCATTATGCAATGGAAAAATGTTCAAATAAAAAATAAAAATGGAAGAACTAAAATGAAAAAAAATAATTCTCATGCACAAGCATATGCTGTGTAGTCTGGGAGGCCCCTGCCTGCTGACCAGTCTCCCTCACACTCTGCAGCACGAAGTCTTCCATGGTATGCAGTGGAGGAGGCACAGAACAAGAGAGAGGCAGCTCCTGGTCTGTGCTGCAAGTTCTGGGTTGAGGTGGGCGTCCTCCCCACCAAGGTGATTCCAGCTTAGCCCAGAGCCCCAGACTTGGAGCATCGCTGGCTCCTTCAGGAGGCTAAGGAAGTCTGAGTAGATGTCTAGGAAAGATCTGAAGAAAAGAGAGAGCCAGGCGGGTGCAGGGGACCTGCTTCTGTGCTGCCAGTGGATCTGCCTCAGTCACTCCCCATTCAACTAGGAAGCCCTTTGTGTGTGATGAGCTCAGTGTCCTGGAGTGGGGAGGACTCACCACTCTGCACAGAGCATCTGCCCCATCAAATCCTGGAGGGAAACCACACCCAGAGAGTCCTGACTCATGTTGACTACACCCTCTGTGCCTGTGTCTGCTCCTGGTGTCAGCGTTTCCAGCTCAGCTTGGGCTTCCACAGTGTGTGAACTCAGCCTCCCCAGGGTTTACTCCTCATCCTGGGCCCTGGAGATGTCGACTCTCCAGGATGCAATCTTCCACCATCATCCTCTGCAGCCCTCCATCCTATATCCTTCCAAGATGCAGAATGAGAGTGAACTGGAGGCCTATTGTTTATTCTGGGGGACAGGTGTAGAAGTCAACTAAAGCTGGCAGGTGAAAAGGGTGTGGTTTCCATGGCCGAATGTCACACTCTGCAAATCGCTGTGGTGCCAACCACACGGGAAATGCGCAGCTTCTCACCCTAACTGGAACAGTGGCTAAGGAAACCTTGCCCGTGAGCTCCGGGACTGAATGCCCTCAGCGCAGGCACTGCTGAGCAACGCCACAAGTCTCCACTGAGAATTTAATGCTGTTTTTCTTGCAACTCTATAAATATATTTTAGTCTATTTGCCATTTGCGATATCTATGTGTGAGTCACCTTATTTTTTTATATTTAATTAATTTTAGACAGTTTCAAATCAAATCGGAAGGACAGTTTCAACAAATAATACACTGCATATATTCTTCTTAGTGGTTAATTGCTGTACAAGATGCGGACTTGT